CTTCAGCTCAAGGCTAGCGCTCTACCACTTGAGCCACAGCGCCACTTCCGGCTTTTTTCTTTTTGCTTATGTGGTGCTAAGGAATCGAACCCAGGGCCTCTGGCATGCAAGGCAAGCGCTCTACCACTGAGCCACCTTCCCAGCCCTCTCCAGTTGATTTTGCTGTGAACTTAAAACTACTCTAAAAAGTCTATTTCTTGTGGATCTTGGACTTGAATTCTGGGCCTGGGCTCTGTCCCTGAGTTTCTTTTGCTCCAAACTAGTGCTCTAACCCATGAGCCACAAAGCCACTTTCAGCTTTTTCTGAGTAGTTTATTGGAAATTAAGTGTCGCATAGATTTTCCTGCCCAGGCCAGCTTGAACCATAATCCTCAAATCTCAGCCTCCTGAGTAGCTGGGATTACAGGCATGAGCCACTGGCACCTGGGTTTAAAAGTCTTATTTAAGATAAAAAGCTAGGGCTGGGAAGGTGGCTCAGTGGTAGAGCGCGTGCCTTGCATGCCTGAGGCCCTGGGTTCAATTCCTCAGCACCACATAAGCAAAAAGGAAAAAGCCAGAAGTGGCTCTGTGGCTCAAGTGGTAGAGTGCTAGCCTTGAGCTGAAGAGCTGAGGGACAGCACCCAGGCCCAGAGTTCAGGCCCCACAACCGGACCCCAAAAAAAAAAAAAATCCAAAAAATCCAAAAAGCTAAGCCAGACACCAGTGGCTCATGCCTGTAATCCTAGCTACTCAAGATGCTGAGATCTGAGGATTGCAGTTTGAAGCCAGCCCTGGCAAAAAAAAAAGTCTGTGAGACTCTTATCTCCAATTAAATCACAGAAAAAGCCAGAAGTAGCTAGGTGGCTCTAGTGACAGAGTGCTAGCCTTGAGCAAAATGCATTCAGGGACAGTGTCCAGGCACAGTGTTCAAGCCTCAGGACTGGCAAAAAAAAATAAATTAAATAAAAAGCTATTGCCAGTCATCTTTGTGAGTACAGAGTGTCCAATATTTGGTGCTAAAGGCTGAGGATAAGATTCTTAACCACATTATAGCATCATTCTGGGCTTGTGGTGCATATAAGCTTTAATCTGATAGTACTTTCTATATTACTACATATCTTCTTTCAACTAACAACTCTTATTCAGAAAAATGATGCTTCCTGGGCTAGAAAGGTAATTAAGGGCCTCACATGCATGAGGCCCTGGGTTTGATTCCTCAGCACCACGTAAGCAGAAAAAGCAGAAAAGTGGCTCAAGTACTACAGTGCTAGCTTGAGCTGAAGAGCTCAGAGCTCAGAGGCAGTACCCAAGCCCAGAGTTCAGGCCCCACAACTGACAAAAAAAAAAAAAAAAAATGATGCTTCCTAAATATCAGGCCTTCCTTAATTGAGAGGCAAAACAGCTGATACCTTTTGGGTTTTATCGCACACTGTTACTTCATTTTGTTTTGTAGCCCAGTACTCAGGAAACCAGGACAGTCTCCACATGTACATTTACACATTATCACACAATTTACCTACTGCCAGAGACTAAAGGTTTTCTAAAATTACATTTAACAAACTTACCCTTGAGAGCACCTCCCACACGGCTAATGGGAGCTCTTGCTGTCTTTTTCCCTTTGCTCTTTAGTTCAGCTAGTGTGCTTCGTTGTGATATACACGATTCAAAAACTTCCTCCTCCTCTTCTTTCTCAAGTGCTAACAGAGTTTGTCGAGACACACGAGCTTGGAACTGTCTAAATTAAAAGATGATTTTATTTTTTGTGAAATAACCAGGATTCACCAGACATAAAGTTTCTAATTTCTTAAGGCAAACAAAGGAAGAGACTAGGAAAGAAACTATCCCAAAGAAAGCCTTCTCTCTCAAGGAAAAAGGGTGAAAAAGTGCAGCCATAGAGTTCACTGGATATTGATGAAAGTGAACTATGGAACTTGTCAGTAGAGATAGGAAGGAGGCACTGGGAAAGAATGAGGGAACAGATGACACTGTATGAAAGGAAATTTACTCATTATCTGACTCATATAAATGTAACCCCTCACTGTACATCATCTCTATAATAACAATAAAGTAAATTTTTTTTTTTGGGTCGGTTGTGGGGCTTGAACTCTAGGCTCAGGTGCTGTACCTGTGCTCTCCACCTCAAAGCAAGAGCTCTACCAGCTTGAGCCACAGCACCATTTCCGATTTTTCTAGTGGTTTATTGGAGATAAGAGTCTCATGGACTTTCCTGCCCAGGCTGGCTTTGAACTGCGATCCTCATATCTCAGCCTCCCGAATAGCTAGGAATACAGGCGTGAGCCCCCGGCATAAAGTAAATTTTTTAAAAAGTATTCTTTCAGAGTGACATTCAGATCAGAGAAAAAAATTTAGCTAGAATAATTTTGAACCCTTTTAAATGGCCAAGTTTGACCAGTTAAAAATACTCTAGAAAGTAGTGCTGTAGTTCAAAATGGTAGAGAGCTAGCCTTGAGCAAAAAGCTCAGGGACAGCACCCAGGCCTTGAGTTCAAGCCCCACAACTGAAAAAACAAAACAAAAATAAACTCTAAAAGATACCATCTGGCTTAAGTGGTAGAGTGCTAGCCTTGAGCCAAAGAAGCTCAGGGAAAATGCCCAGGACTGGTAAAAATAAATAAATAACAGGACAGGAAGGTAGCTCAGTGGTAGCGAGCTTGCCTTGCATGCATGAGGCCCTGGGTTTGATTCCTCAGCACCACATAAACAGAAAAAGCCACAAGAGCTGAGGGACAGCGCCCAGGCCCAGAGTTCAAGTCCTACAACTGACAATAAATAAATAATTACTGAATAATTGGGATGAGTAAACAACATCCATATACCCTTCACCTAGAGCCACTAATTGTTAACATCTGCCATGTTTGTCACTCTAGGTCTCTCTCCACACATACCACCTGCAGATTATTCTGGTCCCTGAAATGAAATGCCACATAACATGACACTTGACTTCAGTAAAGCTGGCACAAGTTTGAAAACAACTTCCTGTCCTGCTGCCACAGTTGTAGTATTATTGAGAGGTAAAAATAGAGCCTAGATTGCAGGTGCTAGCCAGGACATAGTAAGCCCACTATAGTGTCTATATGTTTCACATTGACTAGAATAAAACCTCTAGATAATATACAAAAAGAGAAACTGAAGGCTGAAGAGTAAACAAAAGCAAGTGGACTGTGGAGGAGTGAAAACTTGAAGAAACAACCTGTGCAGGGTTGTTTCCTGTTTTGTTTTTTCCTCTGTCGTCTATTTTCTCTTGTGGTTTTGAACAGGGTAATGTGGGATCTGAAACCTCTAGAAAAACTCCATCTTCCCCACTCCCCAGAGGAGTAGGGAATAAAGGATTGAGGACAAAAGGAGGGGGAATGGAGCCGAGCGCCGGTGGCTCACGCATATGATCCTAGCTACTCAGGAGGCTGAGATCTGAGGATCGTGGTTCAAAGCCAGGCCGGGCAGGAAAGACTGTGGGACTCTTTTTTTTTTTTT